GCTCRRGAAACGCGTAGGGWCAGTGGAAGTAGTAGCGGCTTCTACTCAAGATGAAGTGGGAATGATACCCTCCTCACTTCATGACAAGGCCGAAGCTAATGACTCCTCAGTCACCCCGCAGACACAGCTAGACCTAACTATGCTTTGTACGTTAGATGTGTTTGAGGCCTTAGAAGACTTAGAAGGCGAGTGGTCAAACAAGGACCCTCGCGAGTCTTGGGTGGCGCTAAAGAAGGGTCCTAAAGGGGAACATTTCGTAGTGGAAGTGGATGTAGGAGGCCGCAAATGTGGAGCCTTCATAGACAACGGATCCACTCGAAATTACATAAGTCGCGATTGTTTGGAAAGGCTGCACCTACAGGACCGGGTACAGCACCTTAGTAAACCAGTAGCATCTACTTTGGCCAACAAAGAGCGCATAATTGTCAAAGACTACATCAAGGACGTAGTCTGTACCTTCTCCTATGGAGGAGGAGAGCTTAACCATAAGATCTCGTTCTTGGTTAGCGACGACTTGTCATTTGAAATGTTGTTAGGCATGTACTACCTCAAAGTTGCTAAGCCCCAGTTCGACTCGGATAAGAAGGTGCGTAAGCATAAGTTGCCCGATGGCCGAACTGTCAGATTGACTAAGTTCAAGGCCAGCAGTATTGTAGATACTTATGGCTGCTTGTGTGCATCAGCGTTCTATAACTACTACAAGCAAAACCAAGAGGAAGGTATGTACCTCGTTTACGTCTCTGAGAAGGGGAAGGCCGTTAAAACACCCCCAAAGATAGAACGCGTCGTTGCTAAGTTCCCTGACCTGTTCGAGGAGCCCACAGGAGTTGTTGATAGGGAAGTCGTCCACGCTATAGAAATCATTCCAGGGAGTAAGACCCCAAAGGGAAGGACCTATAGGATGGCCCCTGCCGAGTTAGATGAACTTCGAAAGCAACTCAAGGAGCTGACAGATAAGGGTTGGATTCGGCCTAGTGGTGAAAAACGCAGAGCCTCTACCTCGCATAGACGACCTATTGGATAGGGTGCAGGGATGCAAGTACTATACAAAGATAGACTTGAGATCCGGATATCACCAGATCGCAATAAGACCTGAGGACCAACACAAGACAGCTTTTCAGACTAGATATGGTCTGTATGAGTTTGTAGTGATGCCTTTCGGTCTTTGTAATGCGCCGGGTACGTTCCAGCACGCTATGAATCGGATCTTCCATGACCATTTAGATAAGTTTGTCGTGGTCTATTTAGACGACATTCTGATTTTTAGTAGCATTTCACGTGGGGGTTTCGTATCAAAGTCCACACACACACACACACACACACACACACACACATCAGTCATGAAAAAAAAAAAAAAAAAACATTCCTACTTTTCTTTTATTTATTTTTGTTTTTTTCGATTTCTGTTTTTCATTTTTTACAAATCATAAATGAAGTCAGATTCAAAAAGAAAAAAAAAAGGGCTGTAGGGCTTTCGAAACCCTACAACCCCATATATATATATATATATTTTTTCACTTATTTTTTGACCCCAAAAAAAATATTCAAAAAATTGGGCCGCAAACTAGGCCTGGCGGCCGTGGCTGCGGCCGACGTTTTGGGCCGCGGCAGCCGAATTGCCCGTGGCCTAGGCCGCGGGTGTCACATAGCCTGTGGGGAAAAAAAAAAACAAAGCCACCCCCAAATCTGCATTGGTGCCACTTCAAGAGAAAGGCCGCGGTTAATTAGTGGTGTGACTCAGCCGCCGTGGGGTTATTCCAGGCCGGAGAGCCTGGTTCATCCCTGCAGGCCATGGTTTTTGATGTGAGGGACGCTGGGCCCGTTTCCCAGCTTGTGATGATATAAAATGAAAAAGGCCGCAGTTTCAACCCCCCGCTTAAATTGCACAGAACGATTTTGAAACTTAAAAAATGACATCCGCGCCACATTGTCGTTTCTTGCCTATTTCAAATTAAAGGGGTGACTCAGGAGAAGTTTCCCCCCCAAAAAAGTATGAAGCTTCCGTTCTTTTCTAGGTGAAAGGAACTATGGCACAATGCTCATGATGAGGGTAGTGATGACAGGAAACTAACAGGCTAAGCCCAGGTTGTTGTAGAGGTGGGATACTAGACGGAAGGCAGTCACCCACAGTGCTCGGCCACTCGGTTGTCCAAATGAACCCCACTGAAGACCCCACCCACCCTTCCTCTCATCTTTTTGCCCTGGCGCACCCTGGCGCACCCCCAACTCCCCTGTCCTACCCGAGTGTTAACCACCCAGGACCATCACCCATTGCCATCTTGGCGGGCTAATCTCAGCCCCGGTTGAAGCAGACGCTGTGAAGTGAGGGCATGTTTATTCCTGGTGATTTGGAAAGTCAGGAATAAATGCGCATTCATCATCATCAGCATCATCACATCAACATCATAAGAGTCTTTTTTTGCTCAGAATCCCACTATTATCAGATCCGAATTCTTAGGTGACATTCTAGTATAGCTGATTTCGTAATTGAGCTTTTATTGTGTTTTTGCCCAGGTTGAGTAGTAGCCAGAACGACGCTGGCCGGTGCTGGGGCATTGCCCTGTAACCTTAATAGGAGCTTGAGGCCTTGGATAGAGATCTGGAGATTGCTGAGGGTGGAAGGCAATCATAATACTTGACCAAAGGCTACAATCTGGCCGACGAGGGTCGGAGCTGGGGTGGGTGGCACTGCCCTGTAACCGAGCTAAATTGGGGTGTGAGACCGGGTAGAGGCTTGGTTGGTACACAGTATTGGCTCGGTAGAGATTGGCTGGTTGATATGGATACCTGAGATTAGGGTTAGGGTAGTTTGTGAGATCTGAGTAGAAAAGCATTCTGAGTAGTCAACATCAACCTCGTGCTTATTATTTCAATCATCCTGAAGTATTCCCGAATCATCCCAAATTTCATCAATCATCAATGTAGTCCAAGTATAAGGGACGCTGGGCCCGTTTCCCAGCACGTGCTGCTCCCCACGAATAGATTGGAGCATCTTTTTCAAAAAAAGAAAAAAAAAAAAAAGAAATAAATGCGCATTCGAAGGACGATTTATCTCAGACTCAGTCATCAAGACCTCAGTGAAGACTCAGATAAGATTGGTAATCTTAAGTGATTGGAGTAAGGAAGGTCTCCCGACCCAGGCGGAGGGCCGGGGGTCTGGACTGGTTTCAGGGTACCTGGCCCCCCTGAGTGAAGGTCTGGCAAAAGTCGTTGGGAGCAAAGTGGTGATGGATAGCTGGTTAGTAAACGACAGCTAAATACCTGGGTACTCGGCCAGTTCTCCGCAGTAGGAGGGCAGTAGACGGTTGGTAGGTGGCACCGGAGTGAGTGCCACATGGCTTAATGGGAACTGTACGTTCCAACGTGACTGTCCCGAGGTAGGGAGGTAGGATCGGATATGCTCAGCAGCCGGCACAGATTTACAAAGTGGTGCAGGGGGAGGATTAAATCTTGTTTCTGCAGTCTTGTCCTCTGTTTTTTTTTGGTCGGGGGTTGGTTCCGGTGGGCTTGGTCCACGAAGCGAAGCTGGGTAACGTTCCCAGCATGGTTCCTTTCTCTGGGTAGACTGTGAGGACACCAGCCTCAGATTTACCGTGAATTTGAGTGATCGTTTTGGTAGGAAAAAAAAAAAAAAAAGATATATCCACAGGTGACCAGCGCAGGTAGGTCAAGATGATCATGGAAGTTATGGTACATTATATGTCATGATTATTGGTTGTCAAGCTTCTGTTATGAAAGGTATGTTGAGAGCTTAAGTCTCTTGAAGTATTGTGAAATTGAGGGTCTCAACCCTGATAGGCATCCTGAAATTGAGCCTCTCAACCCTGATAGGCATCCTGAAATTGGGGGTCTCAACTTCTTAACCCTGATAGGCGTCCTGAAACTGAGGGTCTCAACCCTGATAAGCATCCTGAAATTGGGGGTCTCAAACCTGATAGGCATCCTGAAATTGGGGGTCTCAAGTTCTCAACCCGGATAAGCATCCTGAAATTGAGGGTCTCAACCCTGATAGGCATCCATAAATTGGGGGTCTCAACATACCTGTCATAATAACGGATAACAGAAGCTCCGTAACCAATAAGCATGACATATATTAGGGTTGAGACCCTGAATTTCACCATGCCTATCAGTCGGATATGACGATTCTGACTGAGAATTCAACCTGACAATTCTTTTATTGGGTGTGCCCCCGACAGGCCTCAGCAAGATCTGAGCAGTGAGCAGCCACTTCCACCTGGCCTCAGGTTTGTATTGATAGATTGTTCTGATGGTAAGCCGCAACTCAGTCTCCCCTACTCCCATGTAAAAGTGCTTCCCTCGTCTGCTGCACACACCACATGGAGCCCTCAGGGCCTCGCCACAGGGGCCACACCACTGTCAAAACTAAAGGAGTACGAGTGCATCTTCCCCAGAAAGCGGCAAGATGCATCCGTTACTAAAGCATGCATCTGACCACTCCCTGCACTCGTGCTTTGTAAGTTTGGACAGCGGTGTGGCGAAGGCCCTCAGTTTAACTGGTTTCGGTCGAGTGAGGAAACTACGAGGGAGTCACAAAAATGACTTAGGGCCTCGCCACACCACTGTCGAAACGATAGAAGTTCGAGTGCATCTTCACGCAGAGCGTGGCAAGATGCATCCGTTACTATGAATAGCAAAGGATGCATCCTACCACTTTCTGGGGAAGATTCATTCTTTCTTTTTTCGTTTCGACAGTTGTGTGGCGAGGCCCTTACAATTGCACTATGGGCCAAGATATAAAAAGGAAGAAGGAGGAAAGGGGGAAAATAATGAAAAAAAAAACAAAAAAACAGCAGATGTGTCAAGCAGTCGTCCCCCCCCCCACCCCTTCCAAGCAGCTCTCCCCGCTTCCCTGCTTTTTCCCTAAATCAGATTGAGCACCAGAGTGGAAAACGGGTAGGAGATCACAAAAAGAGGGTCCGAAAGGGCAGTTGAGGGGTCGGGAATGTGCGAGGGTCAACGCGTCCCTCGTCAGTTCCGCAGGCTATATAAACTTGCGTTCTGCGAGCACACCCGTACTCGACAGGGAGCACATACGCAAAGTAGAGATTTCTTCTCCTTTCTCTTGCCGGTTTTCTGCAGCTTCGCAGGTTTCCCCCTTTCTCTCTCCTTCTCTCTCCTTCCTTTTCCCAAGCGAAGATGGGGTGCGGATGCGGACACGCCGGTTGCGCTTGCCCCGATTGCAAGTGCAACGGCGGGACAGGCGCCAGCTGCTGCGGCAAATGAAGTGATTTAGTCAGAAGCCATCGCCACGAAAGCTTGCCTGGTGTCAAAGCATGGGATACTTATTGTGAACCAGGTGAAGGCTGCCATCTAATCAATCACAGTTGAAGTTACTCTGCGGCGACGCCCATGGCGATGGCGATCGCGACGAAGATGCAGTGTGGCTGCGGCTATGGCGATGGCGATGACGATGACGATGGCGATGGCGATGGCAATAGGCGATGGCGATGGCGATGAGGATGAGGATAATAAACCTGTTTTGCTCTGCTGTGCCCATGGCGATGGCGATGGCGATGAAGATGGCGATGGCGATGGCGATGGGAAGCCTTCTTTCTATCCTTTTGAGCCCTGATAATGTTGACGACAACAGCGGTAACGTTGACGACGTCTCGGTGACAGCGCTGGTAGAGGATCAGGTCCATCAGGACGGCTGCAAATGGAAGCTTCACCAGCTCGGCGCGCAGTTAGGCTGCTCGCAGACAACGTGGCTCCGGAGGGAAACGAGGGTGGTCCCTCTGACGGAGGCACTCCCCTTCAATCCGGGGGCGCTTTCGTCTGAGTTGCCTTCCACATGACCCTTCGCGATGGTGGAAAGTAGCTTTATGTTGCTGGTGCAACGCTACGTGGCCACTGGTACCGGTGCTGTTTCTGGTAGTATTTTTTCAGTTTCTGGTCCTGCTTCTGGACCAGGTCCATGGATATTCACTGAGGTGCCGCTGCGCGCGGCCGATGTTGGGGTCCCTTCTGCTAGACGTCTGGTTTGGACAGCAGTTGCGGCGGTGAAGGAATCATTCTCACTGTGAACTTAATTGCTTTTAAAATATGTAAAAAAGAGAAACGTGTTTGGACCTCTCTCTCTCTCTCTCTCTCTCTCTCTCTCTCTCTCTCTCTCTCTCTCTCTCTCTCTCTCTCTCTCTCTC